TTTTTTTTTTTTTTTTTTTTTTTTTTTTTTTTTTTTTTTTTTTTTTTTTGCCATTGGACTTGATAAATGAAATGAATTTGGATCCTCAGCCTTGTCCTGGACAAAAAATTAAACAAGTTTTGACTAAGAAAGCAGAGAAAAAGCAACTTTTTGAGTTTGAAACTGGGGCTTTCGTTAAGGTCCCATTTGCATAGGCTCTAAGCACGGGGATTCTTGGTGGTTTGTGGTACCAGTCCCGCACCACTACTGCCCTGTCGCTCAAGTAACACACATGTCGTTCCTAAAGAAGGATTTCTAAGTCCACGAGTCTATGGGTCATACATGTATCAAACAATGTGTGTGTTCTACACATTTGTCACACTCGTGCATCTAAAGATTTGGACATGATTGAAATATACCGTATCTTGGATGGCCTCGTAAACTCGCGTGTCAATACTTTTCCTTAATTTCCAATCTAAATTTTCGGGTTATTAGTTGTTTATGTTCATTTTAACTAAGATCATGCATTTCAAGTCTTCCAGCTTACAGGCAGTAAATATAGATTGATTCTAAAGTAGATATTTCATATTCACGAGGAACTCGTGGGCTGTAATCCATAATATAAGAAAATACCTTTAAAACTTACATTAAAACCAACCATTTAAATCATCATACTTCAAACAATAAACCATTCAAATCATGAGACATACATATGAAGTGGTAAAGGAGAAACGAAGTGGACATCAAATGCTGAGGTATCATGATTGGAATGCTTTGAGGTCCAATGTGACATAAACTAAATGGACAGTCCAACCACATATACATTTAAAATCGTCCTATCGAAGCGTTTTCGATGTGATCCATGGCACGAAAGCAAATTTGGGTAACGATCCATTGGTCGTTAAAGAATGACCTATGACTAGGTCGCGAGCGAAGAGGATTAAAAAAGCAATGCGACTACTTGCTCAAGCCACGATGGATGAAACATTCATCATGGCAAGCAAAGAAACATGACTTGTGTCGGGAGAAGAAACACAAATGAATCAACTTGGTTCAAACAACAGACGAAAAAGATGAAATGGGGCCTATGCAACCGTATCGTGCAAGATTACATGCAACCGCGTGTAACTAGGTAGAAAATCCAATAGAAGAGTTGAAGAGTTCTATGCGACCACATCCAATATAATTATGCGATCGCATAGTTCAAATTGTGCGTGAAATTTTCCAAAATTCGTGAAATCTCCTAATTTAGCTAAAACTCTATATTCTTGGCATCTTTTGTAATATTTAGAATTTGATTTTTTTATTTTTTATTTTTTTGAAGCGAGGTTTACGAAATCTTCAATTTTATTAAAAACTTCATATTTTTGGTACCTTTTGTAATCTTTAGAATTTGATTTCGTTTTAACTAGGTTTAAATGAATTCCTTATATATATAACTCATTATTTTCATTTTAGAACAGCTTTTATACATGCAATTTAAGAGATTATTTTGTGAGTATATTTTGCTTCAATCTTTGTTTTTCATTGATCTAATTCTAAACTTATCAAGATTTATTTTTTGCAACGTTCAAGTAATTCGGGTGAGATTCTTGAGTCTTGTGATCACATGGTCAACATATTGTCGCCCATTGTATTGGCTCTTTAGTTCAATATATATATATATGTGTGTGTGTGTGTGTGTGAGAGAGAGAGAGAGAGAGAGAGAGAGTTCATATCAGTTAGTATCAGAACTTTGATTCCAAAAATCAAGGTTATATCTTCGTCTTTTTCGTTTGAGTCTTTTGTTTTCATTCTTCATCTTTTGAGTTTCTAATCCATAAAAATATCAAAAAATTTCAAAAGTTGTTTGTATGCTAATTTAGACTCAAATCAGTTTCTGTTTCTTTTGCTAGTATTGTAGTTGAATTTTTGAGCAAATTTTTTTTTTTCAAAAATTGCCAACAGTATACAATTTCATTTTTTTGAGTAAAAAAAGGAAGGGGTGTCCAATCAAAATTCCAGAACCACTTTTTTGCATTAATATTAGTTTCCATTCAAAGTGTCAAATTCCTTTGCTTCTTTTCCTTCCTTCCTTGAGTCTTCTAAATTCCATTTTGTCACTCACATTCTAATTTGAATTCTTCGATAATAAAACTTGGTTGAGACCGAATTAGTTCTTTTGAAGCACTTGGATGAAAACATTGAGTAGAAAAAGGCAAAAGTGGTAAGACTAATAGAGGGAAAAATCCAAATTTGAGTGACACACGAGCGTATGCACGTGAGATAAATCTTACTTTGGATTTATAATGTCTAAAACATTCATCATGCCAAGCAAAGAAACAAGACTCGTGTTGGACTTCGCAGAAGAAACACGAATGGATAAGCTTGGTTCAAGCAATAGACGGAGGAGCTAAAACGAGGCTTATGCAGCTGCATAGTATAAGACTACATGTCGCCGCATGTAACCATGTAGAAAATCCAGCTGAAGAGTTAAAGAGTTTTGTGTGATCACATTCTATATAACTATGCGACCGTATAGTTCACATTGTCCACACAAATTGTTAAAATTCGCGAAATCTCCTAATTTAATTAAAACTCTATATTTTTTTTATATCTTTTATAATCTTTAAAATTTAATTTCGTTTTAACTAGGTTTACGAAATCTCCTAATTTAGTTAAAACTCTATATTTTTGGTATCTTTTGTAATCTTTGAAATTTGATTTCGTTGTAACTTGGTTGACACGAGTTCCTTGTATATAGAACTCATTATTTTCATTGTAGTATGATTTTTATACATACAATTTAAGAGATTATTTTGTGAACATATTTTGCTTCAATCTTTGTTCTTCATTTAATTAATTTTGAACTTATCAGGATTTATTTCTTGTGATGTTCAAACAATTCAAGTGATATTCTTGAGTCTTGTGATTATGAGGTTAACATATTATCGATGATTGTGTTGGTTCTTTGGTTCATTATATTGGAATCAAACTCTAAACATTGATTCTTGACTTTTTTTGGGTTTGAATCAATCCTATGTGAATTTCGTAAATACTATTGCTATGTGGGTTCACTTCGGTTT